TTTACAATTACTTCTAAAAATTTCCTTCTCTGCCTATCCTATTTCCCCACCCAAAACTCTATAACCATCTTTTTTGCAGGAAAAAATGCTGAGACTATGGGTATATGAGTGGGCCTACATAAGCTACTTTTGCCAAGCGTAATTATACGCATAATAGGAGGAGATGTAGAAAGATGTATTAGAGTGGAAAGAAAAGTGATCGACCACTCGGTGGGGGCTGAAGAAGGTGGATAAATGATGATAATACTTTTCTTCCGCTTCCCTACCATCCTTTCGTAGGCTATCCCAAGGGGTCACTGTGGGATCTCAACACTAGGTCCTTGTGGATTCCTTCCTTGGCTGTCAGCGTTCGAATATCCAGCAAGGCAAGTTAAAAACTCTCACAAGGGTGGTATGAACCGTTACCGAAATGAGTTTTCTAATAATGGGCAGCTAAAATAATGCATAATTTTTGACACCAACTTAGTCGACTGGGTCGGTCGGCAGCCTGACAGTTTGACCGTCGATTTCGACCAGGTCTAGTGTGTACCCCACAGCAGGATGGCGCAAGAACGGTGACTTATGCTGGCAGAGTAGACTTGAGCCACCGATGAACCGCAGCGCTTACAGCTATGTTAAGCAGCGGCAGAATACTGGCGAAACACGTGTGTGGGTCGTCAATATAATTGTGTTCTCTTAAACTATTGTGAATGTTTCGCTCTACATGACCAAGGACTGTTAATTTTACCCTATTCACCTGTCCAAAATAAACCTCGGCGACAGTGTCTTAGTCGCTCGCATCACATTGTGACCTGCGCCTAATCCTGCCTTGTTTGCAATTTCGCAGGAACACTTTACATTGCGCTGGCTAATTCAAACAGAAGAAACAAGTAAGCTCATAATAATGCTGATGAAAGTAAGAAAAAGAATAAAACAGTTCCCCACCTCGTTAATCGTTTGTGTCGCAGGCGTTTGTGAAGCTGATGGCGCTGTCATTTTCTGCGGGGAGAATACCGGTCGGCCTTTGCGGGAATCCTCCGAAAAGGCAGACTGAGTGGATGTACAGACGGCGTCAATTATGTGAAGTAAAGCTTCCATGGCAGAGGCCGTGAGCCTAAAATATAAAAGTCAATCTTTAATTTAGGCATAGTGGCAGACAGCACCTAGGTTCCTGCGGTGATCGTAAGGTGGGTTGGCAGAAGAGGAAAACAAACATGGGTCTTACTCGATACGGGGAGCAACATTAGGTGCGCGGGAGGTCTTTGGGGCGGCGCTGACCACCTGCAAGGGTGAGGGGGCTCCGGCCTCTGATAGCGCCGAGCGCAAACGCATCGCAAACTGACGACAGGCCCGCCGGT